GTCACATCTATTTAGACTCATTTAGTAAGTAAAATAAAACTATACTTTGCTAATCTTAAAGTTTTAGGCCTGGATTCTACTTTATTTCTGCTGGTGTATACTAGGTATTTGCAAAAATTTCACAGGAGATTTTGGCTATTTACTGGATGCCAGAGAAAGAAAAGTCAAATACTTGAATATTCTAGGAAAATAAAATGGTTTCAGAGATTAAACAATCATTGAGTGAAATATAAGTGAGTTGAATTTGGTTGCTAAATCACTAGATAGAAATGACTTCCAGTGGCATCTGCACGGAAAAGAAGAGGTACAGAGGAGAAGAAAGGATATTTATTAGCCTTCAGCAATATTTTGGACATAGTCCAAGTCAGAGCACCAAAAACAGATTTTTTTAAAAGAAAGCTTCAGTTTATCAGAGCTAGCTGTTTCTGAACAATTGCAAAAATTCACATGAATGCTGAAAAAAATCAGTCAGAAAACTAGACACCAAATATCTTGCGTGTTAAGGAATAAGTTTTTTGATGGATGTCAACAAGCAATCAATCCATAAATATTTGAGTATCTTCAATGTGTAATGCCAGGCTCTGCCAAGATTCCTATTCTCTAAATGTCTCCTCCATATTTGGAATTTTCCTTCTGTGGCCATATGATCTCCCTTCCCCCTCCACTTCTAGTAGTTTTATTTTTTTTAACGTTCTAAGTCTAATCCCTCTACTTTACTTCCTATCACTACAGCCCACAACTAAGTTTCTTAGGGAAGATATATTCAAGCAATTCTAACACAATATTACATAGATCAGCATCAAATCACTTTTGCCCATATTCCACCTACATACTATAAAGTTCTTTTACTGATCTTCTTCCTTAGTCTGAATATTTGTCCTCTTATGCTGCAGTTTGATACCAGAATAACCCTCATTCCTATGCTGCAAGTCACATTATCTAGGTATCTCTAGACTAAGGCCTAGTCTTTTTGCTTTGGTCTCCTTCCAGGGGATTGGATCCTAGTGAGTAGATGTAGCATCAGTTCCTGACTTTCGTGCAGTATGCACTGTACTACTGTAAAAACTGGCTCCTATCTGCTTATTCATGAGGATTGATATGCAATTCCAAAATCTATAAAGCATGCTCAAAGGATTGTAGGGCTATAGTGGAAAGGCATGAAAGATAGATAATAATATTATGAGACAGAAGAGATAGCTCAAGATAGAACATGATAAATTCCATACAAGTTAACTAATCATGACAACTCCCAACAGTGTTAGTAAGGAGAGGTCGCTGAATATGATGGGTGTGGATGAGTGGGATTTCAGCTGGGCACTACAACATGGATAGAATCTGAATTAAGGGAAAGAACAGAAAAGCAAAGTTACAGATCCCATAAAGCACAAAGTGTATACAGGGTAGAGCAAGTACAATAGCCTGGCTGTACTCTTATGAGCAAGTGTGTAAAACAGAAATAGCAATAGGTTGGCATAAATATTTCCATTTTCATCCATAATTTTAGCATCATGATGACATAGCTAAAAAAGAAACTAGGGTATCTCACTTTTATATATTCAGATGAAAATGTATAGGTCAATCAAGGTATCAAATAAATCATGACAAACCGATTTTTTTTTTTTTGCGGTACGCGGGCCTCTCACTGTTGTGGCCTCTCCCGTTGCAGAACACAGGCTCCGGACGCGCAAGCTCAGCGGTCATGGCTCACGGGCCCAGCCGCTCCGCGGCATGTGGGATCTTCCCGGACTGGAGCACGAACCCGTGTCCCCTGCATCGGCAGGCGGACTCTCAACCACTGCGCCACCAGGGAAGCCCCAAACCGATTTTTTATCATTAATTTTCAGAATGTCTTCTCAGTTACTGGATTGGGTAGGGGATCAACAATGTAATTTTTCTTCGTTTTGGTTTCTTTGAATGTTTCCTCACAGAAGATCAAGTAGTATACTTTAATAATGCAAGACATATTAGAAAAAGCAGTAGTAGTTTGGGGTTTTAATCCTGACTCTACCATCTTATTTATCAAATAAAAAATTATTATGAAGGCTCTGTTCTACAAATATTTATTATTATGTTTCTGTTCTAGGCTCTGGGTTACAGCAATGAAAAAAAACAGACTAAGTCCCTGCCCCATGGACCTTACGTTAAGAGCTATGTGACCTCAGGAAATTTACTAAGTATTGACTCTTAGTCTCCTCATCTGTAAAATGTGATCAGTATTACTGATCATATTAAATTTTTTAACACATTTTTGACTGGAGATGTATTGCTGCCACAGGCATTAGTTTTTGCAAAAATCCCCTGGTCAATGTGTTAACATTATTATTTATATATTATAAACATACTATAAATAAATTGTTTACTGACATTTACTAGTGTCCATTAAATGATAACTGGTCAAAAATCTATATAATCATCAAACGTAGTTTACTGTATCATATCATGCTTTTATTATAATTGGTTTAATTTTCATATTTCAGATACATATTTTATTTTCAACCAGTTAGAACAATGTGGTAAAGAGGAAAGAGAGCAAGAATCTACAGTAATCAGAAGCACTAGTTTTAACACTTAGTTCCATCATTTAGCAGTTATGTGATCCTAGACAAAAATGTACCATCTATGCATCAGTTTCTTTAACTATAAAATAAGGGTGAAATTATTTGATTTACCTGGCTCATGGGGTTGTTGCAAAGAATAGATGATTGATTTCAAAATGTAAATGGTTAAGAAGTATATAAATAAAAGTTAATTCATCCTCATCACATACATGCTCTGTGTCTGAAAATTACAAATACATATTTGGAGATATGTAGAGGAAAGGAGAGTACTAGAAGTCACTTCTTGAGTGGATCAAAATTACCTAAGGATTAAGGCACCTGACACAAGATGAACCATTATTCTCTTTCCCACTACAGGATCATCATGCCTTACTATCTAGAAGTATGTTTGAAGAGTGTCAGCTTAGCTCTGCTATTTTGCACAATTCTGGAAGATTTTAAGAGAAAGGGTGTTTATTAAGAAAAATAACATTCATAACTAAGATTATCATGTATAAAGCTGTGTTATCTACATGAGTCTATTTTTGTCTCTTAGTGTTTTCAATGAAAACCTAGACGAGTGAAATGGGACAAGAAAGAAAGAGGCAAAAAGACATGATAAGAAGTAAAAATAGCAGGTGTAGAAGAGATAAAACAAAGAAAAAAAGACAAAGGGAAACGTAGATCTTAATGAAGCGACATAAAAATATTTTTTTCCCTTGGTACAAGAAAAAAATAGATGCAGAAATAAACAAAACAGACGTGAAAAAAGAATAAAGAAAATGCACACATACAAGAGAACAAAAGAGAAAAATTAAAGCAATAGTGACATGATAAAGAGAAAATAGAAGAGAAATAAAATTTAAAAGACAGATGTCAGAAATAGATGATTAATCTGTACATATCATAGGCAAATAAAAGAAACTGTTTAAGAAGTAAAAAACTTAATACGCAAAATCACTTTTTGTTTGCATTTTACATAGAAAACTGAATATTGCGAGTGATTTGTATATTTCAAAAACTTACACAATTCATTTTTGGAATCCAGATATAAGGGGGAATTTTTTTTTTAATTCTATCTTAAGATGGTGGTTGACAGACTGGATCATATTAATTAGGAAGCTCAGGACAGCCAATAGAGAAGAAGGTGACATCAGGACCCTGATGCAGTCATGGCGAAGAAAGGCAGTAATATAACTACATGAACAAGCTACTTATGAATTCCAAATCTAATCATTGTTTTTGTTTCTCAAACAATATATTAAATAGTGAGATGCTTTTCAGAAATTTAAATATTGTAATCTGCCTAACTTTTGCTTGATTCATTGTATGACACGCTTTAGGTAGTCTTGATCTGGATATATTTTGGGAGGTCCTGAGAATTGATATGCTGCTTAACTGTCCTTACTCAACAGACTGACCTATAATCAAATGTGTTGAATGTTTGGAGTACAATTCCCAAAAGTATAGCGATTATGCCATGAACTAGAAGTAAAATAAAGAAAATAACTTATAAAGCTACATATTTTGCCTCAAAGGTGGTATGAAATATTTTATTAATGAATTTTAAAGTAAATGTAAAAATAGCTCAAGTTGAATAATCTGAAACTTTATTACTATCTCACAGTATAATTTATAAAATGTTAAATTGTCTATATTTAAATGTTCTGAATTGCTCACTTTTGAAGAACATATCAATTTACTATTTTACTTACCCAATAGCATTTTGGACATACTGTACTATTAAATTATATTTCTAGCACCCATAATAAGGGCTTTGAAAATTGCATGAATCTGTCACATATATATAATGCACAGTGGTATATCAAGCAGAATGTGTCAAAGGGCAAATAAAATTGTTTGTGCCCCCTATAGAATTAGAATTCCTTGGGCAGCACTGCTATAACGATCCCATGCGGCTAGCATTACAAAGTGCAAAGGTTCACTGGATAAGAAAAGAGCAAAGGACAGAGTTCCCTCATTACACTATTCCTAAACTATTCTAGCTTAAATATTTATTAAGATATTAATTACTCTTCCTCCCTCCATCAGCCTTCAGAAGTTAGGCTGAGAAACTGTGGATGGATGGTTGCTCATAGGAAAACAATGCATTAAAACTATAACCACCCAAGACGAAGACTGATGTTTGTACAGTGCATTATTAATTGATTTTGAGACTTAAATAAAATATCACACTGAAATAAGAATGTGTTTTGTTACTTTGAATAAAAAACAGAAAACATTTCAAATAACACCCTTGGGAAATAAATCTTTAAAAATTAACACTTAAAAAAATAAAGTAATTTAAGAAAATAAATTATAAATAAAGAAAAGGAATGTAAAATTGCTTAGAACAGGTCTGAACATATGGAAGATTTTCAATAAATGTTAGTTGCTGTTGTGGTTTAAAAAAAAAGGAAAAGGAAATAATGAAGGAAAGTAATGATCTTGCTTATTACTTACTCTGATATACAACTGCATCATTTCTTTTTCCCTTTGGGGGTTACGATACTTCTCGTAGAAATCACGTCGCTTCTTTGTTTCTTTAGAGACTTTATCTTTTCTTTCCCGTTTTTCTGCTGGTTCATCTGAACTATCAGAAGATGATTGTACATGTATCTTCGGCTTTTCTACTTCGATATAGTTTTCATTGGGATTCAGTACTATTACTCCATATCCTTCCTGTTTTGAAAGCAAAAAAGGCAGCATAATTTAATATTAGAAATCATTACAATTCATAAAAACGTTCTTAAAATCTCAGTGATTTAATATAGTTACATATTCACTAAAATATTCCTTTATAATATAGTTTTAATTTCTCCAACAGAAAGTGATTTAAAATTATGTATTGTGTATAGAAATAAGCATAGACTGTCTATAAGATCCAAAAGACATAATTGTAACACATTAAAATAATAAAGCTTAAATTAAAAAAGTACTAGATCTCCCAGAACCCCCAAAATGATTCAAATAAATTATCAAATAGCAAGTACACTTTCAAACCACGTTAATATTTATAATACATATTTTGAGAAAATAACCTCTTTGAAATTGAAGTTTACAGTTCCAACCACATTTTGCTGGATTTCTGTTCCTTTCCAACTGCACTTTAATAGTATTTTTTATTTGTTTGAACTTAAAAAAAGAATAAGCAATTAAAGAGGAGTAAACAGCCTAAAGATTTACATGTCTTTATTATCAGGAACACAGAATGTCTACCTATGCATATTGGAGTTTTTTCACCTCTCTTCTTTCAGCAAGGCACACAAATCACAAAACAAAATAATGTCTTACTGTAATGTATGGAACCAAGTTTTTAATCCTGAAATTTATTTTTCAACTACCATAAAAATTTCTCTTTATTAAGAACTAGTACCAGGAAACAAGTTCCAGAATTTAAAATACAGCTTATTGAGCTATTATACTTTTTTTAAAGTTTTAAAAACATGTTTTCCTGTCTGACTTAATTCTAGCAAGGCAAACCTTTCTATAGTTATAATTAAAGAAACTTTTGGCATTTATATTGTAACTGATGGAATAATCTAACCATGAGAAAATAGAGAAGGATAAACAATTACCACTGACAAGCCACACAAATTTTTGAAGCTATTTATATCTTGTCTTTTCTATTCAATTCTGTACTGTGGGTGCCCCTATTTTGTCTGGTAAAATCTTGTAAGGTCATACTTAAAACATGTGTTATATTATGTTTAAAAAATAAGAGCTCTTAAAAATAAAGCTTAAAAAATTCTCATCCTTACTAAAAAAAAAAAAGTACATACTTTTCCCAAAACTGTAAGTGTAGAATCTTCTACATCAAGTTTAAATTTAATTGTTTTTTGCCAAACCAAACATATGATAATTTAAAAAAAAAACTGAGAGCAGTAATACAAGCCAATATTAAGACTCAGTTGTCCTTATTTTTAAATATGCTACATTGCTACACATTGTTGGCTTTTCTAATAGTTGATTTCACAAACTACATACAAACTTCATTGGGATTGTTTCAGTTTCCCCCCTAATCAGTTGATATTATTGTCTAAAACCATGATATGGTTTGGAGATTTTCAAGATCACTGAAGTTTTGATTTTAGTGATAGGGCTGTTAATTAAGATACAGTTGTCTTACACATATGAAAACTACATAATAATATATACCAAACTGATAAACAAAATACCACATATTCCTCAATATGTGTTTAAATAAAACCTTTCATACCTTGTTCATGAAAGGCTTATAAAACACTTCACAAATTTTTTAATTTAAATGTTCATTAACAAAACACAAGACAAGATCGTTTTTTTTAAGTTTCTTAGCTGGCAAGTCAAAGTTTTACCAACAAAAGATATTTTATTTGGTTCTGCTTTATTCTAATCTGTATAGCTATTCAAAAGTCTTGTAATTCATTGTGATCACTGTCAGGTAGACATATTGTCACTCGATGATTTTCTACAGTTGGACACACTTGACTAGTTATTAAAATCACATTTGAAGGAAGTTCCTACCCCTCTTCCTTGTGCCTCTTACAACTTTTCACGCCCTTCTCAAATTTCAGCTATAACTTCTCCTCCCACCAAAAGTAAGTTAAAGAACACTGTTGCACTCTGCTAAACAGGCTGAAATAGAGGCATTCAGTACACTGCCTCTGGTGTAAGGAACATAGTCAAAAAAGGTCACCATAGGCCAAAAAGAAAATTGCCTCCTTACTAGATTCTGTACCGTGAGTAAGTGGTCTCCTGTCATGTTTCTTCCCTGCCTTCTTGAGTGAACTGAACTTTACACACACACACACACACACACACACACACACACACAAAGCCTTTCATACTTACAAGAGTTAGGGTTAGAAAGACCAAAACAGAATCTTAGAGTTCTTAGAGATGAAAATAGTGATATATTACATTTTAATGATAATATGAAAAATTTCAAACTCAAGGTAACAAAGTGGGACTTTAATAAATTGATAAAACATGAACATCATCTTTGCACAATGAATAAACTCCAAATAAAGGTAAATTCTTTAGACAAAATTTATAGTCACCAAAAATGAGAAAGCTATCACCCTAGTTTATAATTTAATCACTAGAAATAATATTTGCATAATGCCAGATTTATTTGAGCAGAAGTTTTTACTTTAATTTTTGCAAATCATAGATTGAGAAATTATTGTGCCTACTTGATTTTAAATGAACTATGAAATTTGATATGTCCCATCTAAATAAGTATAAAAATCAGAAACACATAAATCATCAAAGTAGTAGTATTTCTCTAAGTTATCGATTATGTAACTGAAAATTACATGACTCATTTCTCCAATTTTATAAAGACATGATGTCAATTTTTCACCAAGGCATCAACAGATGAAAAATGATTCTATTTTTAAATCATGACTATATAAATCAATTAAATAATTTTTTATCATATAAATTTCAACAATGAATGCTTTTCTTTAAACATTTGATTTATTCAGAAAATATTTTATCATTTAGATATTTCATCTGCAAATTTAATTAATGGAATAACAATCAAAAATATTCAGGAACATTTTTTGTGGAAATGAGAGCTAATTTTAATAAATGTCTCTGTTGCAAATTCAATTACCATTCTGTAAAAAACTTACATTTTTCAAATAAAATTTTCCTGATAATTAATGCAATATTCACAGAGACCATTCATAACCATTTTATGAGTAGGAGAAAGCTGGAGCAACAAAATAAAGTTAACTATCCCACCTAAAGATATGTAGTAAAACTTCATCTGTTCCTCTTTTTCTCTGCCACGTGTAAACATTGTCCAAAAAATCCTTTTACATAATAAAGCTACAAAGAGTTTTTCCATGTTAACATTAACATATGTAAACTAAGGAGTCAAAGTAAATAGTCAGAGTAAACAAAGCAGACCACAAACCAGCAGTTAAATTTAACTGTTTTAAATAGAATGATATCAATTTATATCTTAAAAAAAGAGAATAAACACCATTTTAAAAATCAATTCTTTCTATCCCAAGTAACTCAATCAGTACACACAGAAATAAGTAAGAAGAGATCCTAGTTTAACCTTTAACAAATGTACCCATAAAGTTTTATAAAACTACTCTATAAAACCAGGTGTCAAATATAATATCATAAAAGAACTGTGCACTGCCACTCCAAAGGAGATCTCCATAATTAATGCTTAGAACATTAAACATTTTATATTGAAGTATTTTTAATTTAATTATTCCTTAAGCATGCTAAATTTCTCCTAAGATGAAAATTTTGGTCATTTCAAATGTACATGGAAAGTTCTGTTATCTTTACCAAGATAAAGTGATCAAACTGATTATCTAACATTCTACAACTAAATAAATAAAACTTCTGGCATCTTTTGTAATGATTCACCCAAATCAATTCCAATATCCAACATTTCAAGAGACAAAACATACATAAAGTTGTTAATTAACTCTTATGTTTGATCACACAGTCTAATAGAAGATCAAGGTGATCAAGAGGACAGATATTGGTAAAAGTAAGCTTTAGCTCTTTAATTTACCTCATCCTATTTTCTACCCTTTTGTAGCTATAACTATAGTTTCATTATTAAACCTGTGTTTATAAGGTATAAACCATGGGATCTTAATCAGAAACTCCCCAAATTTTACTGCTTGACGTAGCATTTTATTCATCACAGTGCTTGCTGTGATTTAAACAGAATACACAGGCCTCTGGGCCTCCTTTACTTTGAAGTCTATAGATGCACTTCCTAATAAATAATAGTTCATTTATCATTCAATCAACAAATGATGGCTTAGGTCGGGGTCTAGAACAGAGAGGTGATGCGAAACACAAAGAACCAAAGAGGAAATCTTGCTTAAGAAATTAAATCAGTACAGAAATGTACTTATGGAGAAGATTCTACAAATAGATAAAATTTTAAAATGCCTGGCCAGAAACAGAATGTACTTTTGACCCCAATGAAACCTTGCCAAAACTGAAGATTTATCTAAGTTAATTTGCCTATTAATTACCAATTATAAGGAAATCGGAAAATAGGAGCAAATTCTACATCTTTTCAAATCTCTTGTGGTTGGCTACATAAAAAATCAGCTGAAAGTACTCAGCTCTACATATTAACCTGCCAATACTGCCAAGCCACATGTGACCAAAGAGGTCAGGGGCCAGAGTAGAATCCTTTGACCTACGGAACTATCTGTTTTGGTCTTCAGGCAAGGCTCCGTAAGAGATCATTTTACACAGATTTATCAATCACATTTTTCACGTTCAGCATTCTATCTGCTTGGTTTGAAAGAAGATAGGTGCCCATCCTCAAGGGAAATGAAACCCAAAGTGTCTTATCTATAAACTACATCTACTACTGTCCATTCATCTTTTCTGAAAGATGTATGTTGTGTTTCTTCTCATCTTTTTCTCAAGAAGGGTATGTATATGTCACTGTTGCAACATCCTAGGTGCAACAGTGAGATGAGGTCATGACAACCAATCAGAAGTCACTAGTGAAGCGTTAAAGTAAACATAGCTGTTGGAGCTGCAGCTCTGCTTGAAAAATGCCCCCTCCATTATTTCAGCAATTTTCTCAAGACGTGACCTGGGACTGAAACGCCTGAAATGTCACTTGACTCTGTTTTGTGCTTCTTCCCAACTGCATTTAGGTAACAGCACCCTGCTAATATTTTGTAAAATGT